GAGAGAGAGAGAGAGAGAGAGAGAGAGAGAGAGAGAGAGAGAGAGAGAGAGAGAGAGAGAGAGAGAGAGAGGAAGAGGACAGATACAAGGTATTTTATTATTGAGGGGCGTTTACAGTTTTAAAATGCAGCAGACAAGGTCTTTTATTATGATTTAATGATACCATAAATATGCCTTTCCCAGGTTGTGTTTATTCTTGCCAATTATGAAATTAAAAACGACTACAATGGAATGCCCCCTATTTAAGACAAAATTACAATAGAGGATACCCATTCAGTCTTCTCCAGCATGTTGAAGGGGGTCCTATCAAACATCATTCAATAGGGGAATTGGGCTGCCTCTACACTTCTACCCCTTGGTGATAGCTGAAGGTGTAATGGGACGTTATAGAGATTTTTTTATTAAAAATAGCAATAAGAGATTTTTAAGTCCCAGGACATACTAAAGTTACATTTTAGTTACTCCAAGGTTTTTAACAAAGCTGTCACTCCAAGGTTTCTAGTAGTGAAAAAAATCTTTAGGCTCATCTTCCGCCTTTCTAGTCTATCTTTGTTATGTACCCATGTACATGTATTATTTCTTTAACCCCCCAACTGAAGATAATTATAAAAAAAAATGGTATAACATATCAAATACAAAAGATTATCATTTTGCTTTTATTCTTAACTAATAAAAAGTTTATATAAGGTTGCAACCGTACTTGTAGAAGTAAGATTGCAGTAATCTACATCATTCATTTTATTTGAACAGTGTAGATTTAGCACTATCTTAAAAGGCGTATCACTTTTTGACACTATCTTAAAAGACGTGTTAAATCTACACCATCCAACTAAAATGAACTATGTAGAACATCGCAACCTTACTTCTGCAAGTAATGCTACAACCTTGTATAGACCCCACCCCTTAACTAATTTTTATGATTACCAACGCTTTGCATATTCAAATTATAAGTGGTATGGTTTAAGCCCTTCCTGTTTTTGAACATTGCTGCCCCTAGCTTATGTTCATGTTCTGTCCAAATAACCATAATTGGATGTTGATAAGAAAACTATTCCACTTCACAATATCCTTTACTGCAATAATTGAAAGGGAAAATTTAACATGTGCCACGACCCACATATAAAAAATAGGAAAATTTACTAATAAATCCTAGTGTATTTTCGATATTTAAAAATAGTCTCTTATATTTCATACATATTTTACAATCAAGTCTCATTTTTCAAAATAAAATAATATGCATTTAAATTCTATCTTTTTCTCTATGCATCAGAATAAGCTCAAATTTGGTATGTCCATAATTCTCACCATCATACATCTATACAAAATATTTTAAAAATAGTTTAAGATAAATAAAATTACCATACTTACCCGAGGGGTAGTTTGGAAATTTTATATAACTTAAATTATTTATAGGATATACGATGGTGAGAAGCATGGACATACAAAATTTGATCATAATCCAATGTACAAAAGAAGAGATAAAATCAAAATACACTTTATGTTCTCAAAAAATGGGACTTGATTGTAAAATATGAAATATATAAAAACATTTTTAAATATAAAAAATAAAATAGGATTTAAATATAAATTTCTCTAAAAAATATGTGAACCTCCATTCTCAGCCATCCAATCTTAATGGCTGGGATAGCTTCAATTACAATGTCGTACCAACATTGTCTTATTTTTAAATTTTTTTTATAAATCAGCTTTACATGAAATGCGGGGTATGCCATCACCTTATTGGGAGGCCACCTAGCCCCCCCACCTTCCAAAACAAGAAAAAAAAAATCTGATTAAATATGACCACAAATACCCCTTCAAGTTCCAGGGATATTTTGGTTATTTTTCCATCAGAAATTTCTTTTTTTTTTTTAATCAAGTGCACCATTTGTGAGAGGTGTGCACACCTCAAATTTCATTGCAAAATGATTTACAAAATAAAATATTCTAAGCCGACCGATCAAGATCAGACACTCAGAAACTAACTTGCTACATTATGCCGGAAGTTATCCCAACTATCCGTTCAATTTGGACGGCTTTGGATCGGGTAAAGTGTTTTATATAGGTGGCACTAGATGTAAAGGTTTCTCTACTTAAAAATTCATCATTACCAACAGGAAAAAAAGAAACCTCTATCAATATTACTGTTGTATCTCACCAAACACTCATCAGTCAATGCTCCAACTGATTACCCCGTGGCAGTAATTGTAAACGATCTAGCCACCTATCTATCATTATTAAGCAAGAAGATGGGAAAGACTATGCATTTAGATATCAATTTTATTTTTCAAACCATAAGAGAATCAGGTATACTGCATAATTTGTTGGGAACATCAAACGTCACATTGTACAAGATGCGTCAAAGAAAACATCAAACTTCATATGAAGTTAGATAAAACCATTCATCTTCCACATATTCTTTACCGCATTATTGAAAACAATCATCAACAATAAAAATAAAACAAAACAAAAAAACACCTCCATCATCATTCCTGTTGTATCCGATCAACCCCCCACCAGTCAGTGTTCCAACTGATTACCTCATGCTAGCAATTCTAAACACAATCTAACAAGATGTATACTATCATATTATTAAGCAAGAAAAACTATGAACGTAGCTCGCAATGGTCACTGTCAAACCATAGGAGAATCAAGTTCACATGCAATTAGATGATAGGAGGTTCAAAAATGATTTATAAAATAAATATAAGAATAAAATATTCTAAGCCGCCCGATTACGATCAGACACTCAGAAACTAACTCGCAACATTACGCTGGAAGTTGTCCCAACTATCCATTCAAATTGGATGGCTTTGGATTGGGGTAAAGTGTTTTATATGTGGTGGCACTAGATGTAAAGGTTTCTCTACTTAAAAATCCATCATTACCAACAGGAAAAGAAAGAAACCTCTTATCATCATTACTGTTGTATCTCACCAAACACTCACCAACCAATGCTCCAACTGATTGCCCCATGCCAGTAACTGTAAACACGATCTAGCCAGCAATTGTAAACACGATCTAGCCAGCTATCAATCATCATTAAGCAAGAAAATGGGAAAGACTATGTATTAAGATATCGATTTTATTTTTCAAACCATAAGAGAATCAGGTATGCTGCATAATTTGTTGGGAAAACCAAACTTCACAGGAAGTTAGATAAAACCGAATCTACCAATATTCCCCATGCCAGTAATATTTTCCACATATTCTTTACTGCAATATTCAAAACAATCATCGACAAAAAATAAAACAAAACAAAAAAAACACTTTCATCATCATTCCTGTTGTATCCGACCAACCTCCTCCAGTCAGTGTTCCAACTGATTACCTCATGCCAGCAATTCTAAACATAATCTAACAAGATGAAAACTATTGTCTTCCCCCGAAGGTAGGCGAAGCCAGGGGGGAACACGGTCCTTCCTAACTTGCTAAAGGTGTGGCGAGGCCTGGCATCTTTGCTCTGATGACTGGGCCTTTGAAACTTGCTTTTAGGAGTGGTATGGGTAGCCCATACCCTCGCCTTGGCTTGGCACTTTGTCTATCCTATCCAAGACCCAGACATTATTAAGCAAGAAGAAACCATGAAAGTAGTTTGCAGTGGTCACTGCCAAACCATAGGAGAATCAAGTTCACATGATGCAATTAGATGATAGGAGGTTCATATAAGCCCAAACCATGATCACAAATGGCAGCAATAAACTTCAAACATACCTTCAATCACCACAAGCAACAAGATGTTGATAACAAGTAAAACAGCATTTCTCTGTAGTTTTCAGTAACACAATACAGGACAAACAACATCACAATTGTGTAATCCTAATGTCTCTGTATAGAGTAGAAAAAATTTAAACTGGTACCCGAAATCAACTTTTCAAAACTACTAAGAACCACCCGAAAATCCCATAAAAGACAAAATAAAAACACAAAAAAAATCCATGCATCAATGCAACAAAAGTATTTTGAGATGTGCCTCATGATATATGCTCATTTAAAGGGCCTCAAGCACCTCAAATGACAAATGTAAGGTGCATGTACAGAAGAAGACCTACGAAAACTACAAACTTGGAGTAAAAAAGCATTTCAAATTTTTGCAAAATAAAATGTATCCATAAGTGAGCTAATCATGGTTGATTTTAGAAGAAATGTTATGTCCATTAAACAAAAACAAAAAATATTTGGCAAAGTGGACATAAAAAAATATGAAGAGCAGACTAAAGAAAAAGAAAGAGGAACCAGACACATTATAGCTTGAGCCTCGAGAGCCCCACCTTGCCCATTGAGGTTGGACCACATTTTTAATGACAGATTCCATTTATGTAGAGACATACATGTTGTATGGAGGCATACCTAGAGGGAAGCCAGTGCCATACCCGACACCCTCGCTAAGGAGGGCGCCAACCTACAATAACCTAAGGGGGCTGTTTTGGGCAATTTTTGAGTTCTCAAGTCCCAGCTGTGCATATCTTGTGTTACTACTTTTTGGGTTGTCTATGACTATAGATTTTTTGGGTGCCTTAATGGGATTTTTGGAATCGAGCACTCGACTAGTGGGTGCCGAATTTTTTGTACAGTTATATACTTAATATAACAGTTACCATATTCCAAAAAAAAAAAATTGAAGCATACAAATCAGGCATAAAATGAATAATACAAAAGTAATTATCCAACACATACCAACAAGTTGCGCAAATAAATTGTACTTTGCAAAGATTTTTCTTATACATTAAGTTGCATGAATTATACAAATAAAGAGGCATAATTCGAAAAAGGCAAACAAATAATTAAAATGAAAGAAGAAAATAAATATACAAGGTCCGAGGAAGGAAACGAGTACACTTGGAATTTAATTAGCTTCATAAGCAATCACTAAAGGAAGTTCCGAAACACATTAATCTATTTATGCATGAGAATGCTTCATACATTTAAACTTAATAATTATTAAAGCATTGTTTTCCTTAATAAAAGTATTGTTACACCTGTTAACATTAGGCAATTTCAAAATCTAGATTATCAAAACGTAATTTTCCCCTTGCAATGGTTTTAAAACTAGTATGTTACTTGGTTGGAGTTCTATAAACTTTCCAGGTTTAAGATGTAGTTAGGTTTCAGAACGAAACCTTGATGAAAAACGATGGGATTTGAAGCAGGAAAATAAACTCAGAGAAAGAAAGGGGAAGATAGAAACAATACAAAAAAGAAGCAGAGGATAAGGAGATGGAGTAATCATAAATATAGCATTTCTCCTTCCAATTTTTTATTTATTTTACATATATAACGTGGTTTCTTTCATCCAAAAACTTAAAGGCACAAGCTAATAAAACAAATAGAAAGAAATAGAGCTAGGGCTAGGAGATGTTAAGGGTGCGGGCTAGGAGATGTTAAGGAAGCATCTGGGTAAGAAGTGCCAGTTTCTGATTTCCGTTTCATTTTCACAAAATAACTATTTTTCACAAAATAACTATGAATCGCACAATCTCATGTCACAAATTCCCCGATCAATTTTTAAAATTCACCTTCTCAAAACGGAAAGAAACATCCGCCCATACAACCATCATAAGCTTCTTTGACAGTCTCGCGAGAAAAAACGAAACAAACAATGAAAAATAGAGAAAATCAAGGCTACACACAGATAGATAAATAGAAACCATTATCCCTATCACTAGCTTAAATATCACAAACAAACAGAAAACTAACAGTGAGAAAGCAACAGCTATAACTCCCGACGAACATAAAAACAGAACAAACATGGAACGTGAAGAAAATATTAGGGTTTTAACTTTGAATGAATCAGAAAAGTTTAAAACACTATCTTCACCTCCTTCGTCCTTGTCATCATCGTCATCGTCATCCTCGTCTTCATCACTCTCATCGTCCTTAACATCCTCAACTATGGGCTCGTCAGGCTACAAAGTGAAAACCGAAAGCCAACAAAAAAAAAAATTAGCCATATTTTGAGCTGAAGAAGATGGGAAAACGTAGAGAGGGCAGAACGAGAGAGTACATTTAGTTTTTGCTCCTCCATTAAAGCAGAGAGGTGCTCTTCTTCGGCTACCTGACCCGGCATATTGGAGAAGTTAAGCAGAGATAGGGATGGATAATGAAAGAGAAGTGCCCCTGCCCCAGACTTCCTATTTAACCTAGCGGAGCTGGAAGCGGGTTTAATAGAATCAGTGAGCCAAGACGGGGACGTAACAACATATCAAGCAAACAAAAATACTAATAATAAATCGGTTTTATTTTAAAAAAGCGGTGGCAAAATCTCGGGTAAAAAAATAAAGGGTGCGGATTGTACTGAGCCGAGGCTCTAAACAATCCAAGTAAAGTGGACCTTAAACAATCCAAGTAAAGTGGACCTTAAACAATCCAAGTAAAGTGCACCTTAGTGTCGAGAAATATAGTTTCAATATTGAAAATATTTGTGATAGCTTTAAAATATATTTTTATCTTTTATTATAGAATTTAAGGCTTTAGGTTTAGTGTAGATTATGCATATATATAAAAACTTGAAAATCACGAAAATTGAAGGTCCAAAAAAGCATTACAAGACGTATTATTTTCAAAACTTGAAATCCATTTTTTTCTTGTGTCACTTTATCTTGATGTCGAAGTGATCAATTTGAGAATATTTGGGGCATCAAAACTACCTCTCTTAGTGAGATTTTTTATGTGGGTTCTGATTTGATTGTTTAAGAGCCTTGGTTTTATATAAAAATTTTCAATTACTAAAAATTAGTAAGAAATACAAATCATTAAAATTAGGTGAGTTAAAGACTAATGACCAAAGTTCGAAAAGGTGATCGGTGGCATGGATCGCCCATTCTGATATTCAAGTTGGATCTGCAGATCGGCAATCCGCATCGAAGGATCAATCAGATGGTCAAAATCTAACAATAAAAAGTTTTCAAAAAATCACTAAAATATCTTAAGAATCTATTTTTTATGTTTCAAAAAAATTATGCATTCTTTTTTATTATTTAATTGAAAATATTTTAAAATTAAGAATTTAAGTGTCAGCTATCCACTGCATTCGTTTATAGTCCAAATAAAATTTAAAAGGAAAAATTACGTAAATATCTATTTTAATTTTCGTTATTACCAAAATACTGAATATTTTATGTTATTACTAATATATCCGTTTTTTGGACTTCATAACCATTTTTAAAAAAAATAAAATAAAACTATCTATTTTCGGTTTTTCAAATACACCAATCATGCCAATTTTCGGTCTTCAATAGCATAATTTTTTTTTTTTATTGTGGATCCTCTACGTATTCTCTCTCTACCTCTCTCTCCATTACACGTGTAAAATTGCTTTTCTTTTTAACACTCTCTCCCTCTTTCACCAAGTGTTTTTGTTTTTGGGTAAGTTTCACCACCGTATTGAAAGAGGAATTTGGTCTTGCATATTCCGATAGCTTAGCTTGAATAGCTTGAATTGACGCGAGATCTCTTCTTAAACGTAGGGCATCATGCCCTAGGTTATCAACTTTCCATTCTCGATCTTGAAGGTAGGGCATCATGGGCTAGGGGCTGAAACCAGTGCTTTAAAAAACGCCGAGTCGAACCGGACTCGGCCGGTTCGATTCAGAAATCGTGAAAAGGGGACCGGATCGTCTAAAAAATCGGAAATCGTCCGGTTCTAGAAAGAACCGGACGATTCTGTACAGTGAATCGCCGATTCATTGTACGGAATCGGCGAGTCCGAACAGTGAATCGACGAGTACCGTACGGATTTTTTTTTTTTTTTTTTTGTAATCCATGATAGATTTTTTTGTAATACTTGATCGATTTTTTTGTAATCCATGATCGAATTGTTTTTG